AGTACAACCCCCCACGATAGTTCAGTTTGGCGCAAACAGCCCTCTTGAGCTCGCCCGCTCATCATCTCTTGCCGCCCCTTTTGTCAACGGTGTCGACCTCAACTGCGGGTGCCCTCAGTCATGGGCTTGTGCAGAGACCCTTGGCGCCGCTCTCATGGAGCAGCGCGAGCTCGTGCGAGACATGGTCATTGAGACTCGTCAACGCTTAGCTAGTGATGGCTGGCATGTTGGTAAGGAGCGGGATATCGACAGTCCAAAGGGCAGGAGCGTCAGCGTCAAGATCCGTGTGCACAAGGACTTGAGGTTAGTGAACCTTACCCCCCCGAGTTTCTCGCTCACATTATCTATGGAGCCATCCTCTACAGATCCATTCTCCGCTGACTCACATGCTCCATTACTTAGGAAGACGATGGACTTCATCGACACCGTCATTGGCAACCCCCTGAACCGCAACATCGACTTCTTGACGATCCACCCCCGTACCCGTCACACGGCGTCCACTACCCCTATTAACACCGAATCCCTTGGTATTCTCCTCGAGAAGTACGGCGATACGCTCCCAATTCTCCTATCCGGCGATGTCTTCTCCATGGCAACATTGCCTCTCTCAACAGTTTCCAAAGCACCAGAAGAACCTTCAGAACCCACAACAATCAACGGCCACAATGGCTACACAGACTTCACCCCCAGTGGCACCAAGTTAGTAGGTCTCATGTCTGCCCGGGGTATCCTCGCAAACCCTGCTCTTTACGCTGGATTCGAGTCTTGTCCGTGGGAGGCTGTCGAATGCTTCATGCGCCATGTTATTCGCGCCCCGATGCCAGTGAAGCTCGTTCAGCATCACCTCCACGAGATGTGCGGACCAGGTATGGGTCCCGACAAGCGCGCCTTGCTGAATCGCCAGGAGAGGGCAACACTACTCGCTCTAGACAATATGGTGGACGTGATGGATTTCTTGGATGATGCAATCAATCGTAAGACGGGCAGGACGGAAGGACTTCATCGAGAGCCGAGACGTAGCTCTACAATTCCTATACCATGACCTGCTACCCTCTCACTTTGCAGCAGTGTTTTGACTTTAGGCATGATGCATTCGCTATAAAATGTAATCACTACCAAGGTATTCCTTACCTTTGCAAAGTATCGCTTGCGTCACGACCTCTGCCAAGCTACCGCCCTATGAACGCCGTATCTCTGAAAGCGTGCTGTGACTCTTGCACAAACCAGAATGTTCGCGCTTGGAGGCGCCTTGAGAGCGTGACCAATATGCTACAAAAGCGTCGTCTTGTTCTCATCGACGCTTTGTCCGAATACCTGCCTTGAAATGCGATGGACCTCCAACGCCCGTGGTCCGTAGAATTATTACAATGTTACAGGTTAAGGTAGAGCTCCTAGTCCAAAACCTCCCCTTCATCTTCGTCGGAGAGTCGTGCTCGTTTCTGTTCTCTGCCTTCGGAATCCGAGTCAACTTCCTTCCTCTTTCCTGGGGACGCCAGACTGTTGCCATTTGCTCTCTCCGGCTCCTTAAGCGTGGCCTGCGACCCAGACTCGGTATTAGTGACGTCGTCGCGGCCATTGGCCCGAGCTCTTGGGCTTTGTGTTCCTCTGTCCAGCTCAAAAGGCGTGCCTGCTGTAGACGAGAGGGCGTCTTGGCTCATCGGATCCCTCGGCTGTCGAGTATTGGCCAGGTCAAAGGCCGGTGATGGCAGAGACGGGTTCTGTTTCCGGAGCGGGTTCTCAGTGTAGAACTGGCGGACAATGTCGATGGCCTTAGCACACTTGTCCTCGTTTCCTTTCAGCGCCCTCCACCACGGTTCGCCGTTGACGTCTTCGATCTTTTGCTGTGTGTGTATACTGGCGAAGAAAATGGCACTGATGGCAACGTCGCGTGCTTCGAGCAGCAGAGGGATGGAAGTGAGGCAGGCGTCGCTGCAGAACGCCCAGGCCGACTGCCTCAGATGCTTGTTGTGGACAATGTCGAGTTGGCCGAGAAGCTCGAAGAGACGCTGGTAAGGATTTTCCACCATGAGGTCGAATGTGAGGTATTCCAGCATCAACTCCTCGTACATGAGAATGCTGTCTCTCCATCGCCAGTACTCCTTGCTCATCTCATCTATCATCAGCTTAGGGTTCTTCTGGGCGACCTTTGCCACTGTAATGATAATTTCCTTCGTTTTCCGACAGTTTTCTTCTGTCTTATTCGCGAGAAAGAGCGCAGTGGCTGCAATATTCTGTTCAGTCGATTCCGTCAGCATTGGTTCAGCTTGGGCCTTTTGGGTCCCTCGTTTGGATCTGGGAAGTGCGGGTTGCGCCTGACACTTATAAGACACAAATATGATCGTCGTTAAACAGAAAATTGGACAGAGGTATTTCTCACATAGTGGTGAATGCCGCCCTTCTCTTCCACCATACTGTATCGCATGTAGAACCGGTGGAAGAAGACACCTGCAACCCAAAGGGTGATTTGGGGGAGATCAAGAAGAACTCCGGCCTGGTATATGAAGTTGACACCCTTCGCGCGTCTTAGGCGCTCCTCTGCTGGCGAAATGCCATCTAGGATACTCGGTGTGCTCAAGGTTTCGTCGGGGGTGAAGTACCACTGATTGGGCGGAGGTCCTGGTGTTTGCGCTCTGGAGCGCTGTGGCGAACGCGTGTCTCGTTGAGAATGGGGGTGCGGAGGCGAGGTCCGCGATGAATGTGTCGGAGGAGATGGAGCTGCAGGCGGCACTTCAAGGCGACGCGCAGGAGATCTGGATTGCCGGTCTGGTCGTGGAGGACCCGGGGGGAGTGTGGGAGGCTGATAGGCCTCTCTCGAAGGCCGGTAGCGATCGATACTAGCCATCGCCGCGAGGTTATTGTGATTCTTTCAAGTCGGCGATTGGTGAGAGTTGATGTGAGAGGATGATCATGGGTGAAATGGCGCTCGCCGTCGCAAATGGTAGTGTTGGATGATGGTGGAATCGTTTCCTTGGTTTAGCTGAGGTGGATTTTCGACCCTGTTTGAGTCGCGTTATCTTATCACTTTAGCCACGTGATCACTTTAGACCCCTGCTAAGGTGCCTATCTCCAGCCAGCAGGGCGGGTACATCGGACGGCAAGCTCGAAGATGATAATCAGTTAGGGAGGTAAGGTATTCGTTTAGTATGTTGATTAACACCGAGGTCTGGCAATTAAGAGTAAATTTAAGAGAAATTATCATGTTTGTGGAGAGTACGGGTTTTGAGAGCGAGGAGTGTCGAAAGTAATTACACCATGCTCGAGCCAGAGGCTATCGCCCTTCAATGTATCCGTAGGTAGGATGGACACCCGGTACCTTATGTAAGCTTGAGATGTACACGGACACACGGACGAAGGTGCTGAGGTGTCTTCGTACCTGCAGCAGTTGCCCATTCTGAATCAGGCAACAAGGCATCAACCAGCTCGGTACGCACTTTCCCTGCTGAAGCTGGCCGTGACGCGAGCATGGAGCTGCCTGAGCTATCCCCCAGGTCAACGTCAAAGAACCCCATCTCCATTCCAATCATCACCAAGCCCAACACTTCCACGAACACCAACGAGAGTCCGCTCAGAAGTAATTCTCTACACTCATCACACCTTACCGACCGAATAATTTCGACAGACCTCCCCGCCTGCTGACCGCCGAGATGGACAGCCTTGTGGCCAAGTACAGCCGCCCGGCGTTCGAGCAACACAACACCTTCAGAGACGATGAGCAGGAGGACCTTGAGCTCCTGGGCGGAGCGCCGCCGTTGTCATTGAAGTTTGCTATGCCCCCAGTCGCACATGTGAGTTCATCTCTTGACTATTTGTCCGTTTAAACCTGAGATGGACGATCAGACTGACATTAGAACCCCTCAATCCAGCCGTCATCCTGGCTCCGTGCAGCAACAGACGACCGAGCCAACCCCGACTGCCCCATCAAGATTGCCCATGGCACAACGACCCTCGCCTTCCGTTTCCAAGGCGGTATCATCGTCGCAACCGACTCCCGTGCTACTGCTGGAAACTGGATTGCTTCGCAAACGGTCAAGAAGGTCATTGAGATCAACTCGGTGCTTCTGGGCACCATGGCCGGCGGTGCCGCTGACTGTCAGTACTGGCTCGCATGGTTGGGCATGCAGTGCCGCCTCCACGAACTCCGACACAAGCGCCGCATTTCTGTCGCTGCGGCGTCCAAGATTCTCGCCAACCTTGTCTACTCATACAAGGGCATGGGCCTCAGCATGGGTACCATGTGTGCCGGCGTAACGAAGGAGGAGGGCCCCGCGCTGTACTACGTCGATTCGGACGGCACTCGCCTGCCTGGCAACCTCTTCTGTGTCGGCAGTGGTCAGACTTTCGCCTACGGTGTTCTGGACGCCGAGTACCGCTACGACTTGACCGACCAAGAAGCTCTCGACCTCGGTAGCCGAAGTATCCTTGCCGCTACGCACCGTGACGCCTACTCTGGTGGTTTCATCAACCTCTACCACGTCAAGGAGGAGGGCTGGGTCAAGCACGGCTTCAACGACACGAATCCCATCTTCTGGAAGACGAAGCTGGAGAAGGGCGAATTCACCAACGTTACTGCCGACTTGGACTAGATGTCGGTGGAGAAGGACAGTGAATTGGTACCGCTGAAATCATACGTGTCATGGAGCTCCCTCCAGAATCCCGCGTTCAGCCGGTCTTCAGGCGAAGCCTGAGACCGAATCTCGCGCCGGTCCCGCTTTTGCCGGGCCAGAGCGATGTATCTCACCTATCACTATGACATGCAAGGAGACAAGACAGTGGTATTTCCTTGCAAACGAATGAATAGAACGGTTACGACAGGCAAATCGAGCGCAATCGCAGAATCGAGCATGGCTTGTCAGGTTTTTCCTTTCGACATCCGTACTCTCAAGGGAGAGTGCAGTTGTTGTGTAACTTGTACACTAGATTATGATACAAGTTCATTCTCGTGCGTCTTCTGCATTGTTATTACAGGTGATGTTAAAACAAGAACTGGGTATCATGAGTTTTTAATGTTCTCTTCTTCTCCATCCAGGGACACCCAAGATCCCACCCTCTTCGCTGGCAGGGTCAACCGACCACTTGCGCTCGGGATGTACGGAAAGCAAACTTTCCCAGCCAGCTTCATACATCTCCATGCCAGTCCATGCAATCATAGCCGCATTGTCCGTACACAATGCCGGCGGAGGCGCCGTGATCTCCAAGTGCCCGAACCCGCGGACATCGAGCATCTTCCGCAGCACGTGCATGAGGAAGCGGTTGCTTGCGACCCCGCCGCTTACGACGAGTGTTTTCAGTGCATGTTTCAGCTCCGGCTCGGCGGCGAGGGCGAGGAAGATACGAGTGGCCAAGTGTTCGAATAGGAGGCGCATGGTGGCGCGGGCGAGGGTCCGTCGTTCTTCGAGGGACATGGAGTTGCCTTTTGCTATGGCAATTCTGCGGACCTCGCTACCAAGACCGTTGAACTCGTAGGATAAGGCGCGGGAAGTGGAGAGGGGAGGGTGGAGGGTCCAGGAGTAGGGCGGGGGAGCTGTGTACGGCGCGATTTCGTCGACGCGGCGGAGAGGAGGGGTGTATTTGTAGTCATAGTCGTGCTGGCTTGGGGGATCTGATGGCGATGTAGAGGAGGGAAACGAGTCAGGGAAGGCGAAGCGTTCGAGGAGGGCGCCGTACATGACGTCTCCGTGAGATGCTAGCATGTCTGGCGGGAGGATATGGCGAGCGGCCTTGTCAAGGGCGTCGCCCACGGCGATGTTGTCGGAGGAGGCGAGTATGCGGTGGGATGTGAGGGAGCGGGAGTGGACTAGCTGGGTGTGGCCGCCGGAGACTAGGAGGGTGAGGAAGGGGTATTCTGGTTTTATAGCGGTGGCATCGGGTGTCGCTGGGGAGGAGGTGGACGAGGACGCTGTAGATGTCGTCGGGTCCTGGCGGGCGAGCGCGGAGATGAGACGCGGGGTGAGGGCGTGGGCTTGCATGTGGTTCACGCCCAGGAGCGGTACCTGCCAGGCTGTCGCGAGGCCTTTTGCCGTCGAGAGCCCGGAGGCGAGGTTCGCGGACATGCCGGGGCCGCGGGTCACCGTTACGAAGTCGGGTTTCTGGCGCAGAGTGCCGGCGACTGCGAGCGTTTTGCTGCGTAATGAACCGACCTCTCGTGCGAGAGTGCGACCTCCCCTTTGCCCTCCTTCTTGTATCACGTCGCCGTCATCGTGGCTTCGAGCTTTTGCTTCGGTGGCTGGGGGCAGGGACGAGAGGGCTTCGGCGATGAGGGGCGCGAGTGAGGCGTCGTGGGAGCGTAGGGCTACGGGCGGGTAGACGCCGCCGTAGGCCGTGCTGTCGCATGTGATTTTGCGGTGAAAGTGGAGGGTCGCGCGGCCGAGGGGGCCGGGGTCTTTGGAGAGGAGGGCGACGCAGGTGTCGTCGCACGAGGTTTCGATTGCGAGGGTCAGGAGGGTGCGGTGTTGGTGCTGGTGCTGGTTTCGTTGTCGAAAGGGTGTCGGCCGCACATGCGCTGCTGGGGTGGCTGCCGGGTTACCGTGAACGGATCGATGGGGAAGAAGAGATGGAACACGCCATCTTTGGAGGATCGTGAGGGGATGTCGGCGCATTGAGGGGGGCTTTGTGTGAACATTGGTGTTGGGAATTGCTTCGTACGAGGAGAGTCGCGATGCACTGATGAGAAGTTCCGGAGCTCTTATCTTATCAGTCGCAATCTTATCGGCCGTCTTCACCGAGTGCACACCGACTTACACGCTTCCACATCAAGCTGAGATTCCAGCGCGTCAGCACAACGCCTGGTATATCGCCCAGGCCCGGAACAATTTTAGTTATGCCAACGAGAGCAGAGACACCCTGCCATTCTGTCAAACTTTCAGTCTGTCAAGAACGCTGTACCCGGATAAGTCTCCTTCTGCTTTCCTAACGAAGGGCAGCGTGGCTGGGAGCAGAGGTCAAGATCTCCCAACGCATTCAGGGACTCGGTACGCATCATGCACACGATTTCATGCTCTACTGGAGAATTCACTTGCGCGTGTGTTACTATTTCCGATACATGAGTTTCTTGGAATAGTTCATTGATTAAGATACTGGGCAGATTCTAGCTGCCATGCATTCTTGAAATACTTTTCCTCCCGTGTACCATCCATGCAATGTAGTGATGCTCATAATGCTAATATTTCCCGTTTCTAACTCCATGATCTTGTTCGTATCCCTATACAAGTCGGCTCTTATACCCATACCGACGTTCGAATACCATGGTTACTTGTGAAGTACTCATTGTCTTTAGTTACCGCTGTCCCTCCTAGCAATGAAATTAACCCACTCGCACCGGCAGCCGCCGGTGCCACCGTCGAAACCGCCAAAGGAAGCATTCTTATCCTTCCGCGGGTTCACGGTCGTTCCTCCAAAGCCTATATCATTGGGAAGAAGCTTCGGTGTACTCGTGTCGATGCCCTGGCGATCATTGACGGGCCAGTGCCACACGAACTTCTCGCCCGACTCGCCGCCGTGAGTATCCGTCTTGATCGTGACGGGGTACGGCATGGTGCCAGGCGCGGCGAGTAGCTGTGTGGTGTTCGCCGAGCGGGTCCAGATCTGGACGAGGAAACGTGTCTGAGACCACGTCACGAGGAACTTGGCCTCGCTCCTGCGAGATCCGCCGTCCTTGTCGAGCGGCACGTTGCTCTCGCCTTCAGTCCCGTTGAGGGTGGTGACAGACTTGAGGTAGATGGTGCGCTTGAAGTAGGTGTAGAAACCGTAGTGCTCCGTTGGGAGGCCACGGTCATACAGTCGAACGGGCTGCTGAATGGCGTGTGGGAAAAGCTGGGCAGGGGCTCCGGTGCCGTCTGTTTCAAGGTCTGGGGCCGGCAGCGTAATGCCAAAATCATCTGTCGAGTTCCTTGAGCTCTGACGCTTACCCAGGGCGTAAGGGCTGACAGTCTCACTGGCGGATTTGAGGATGCTGAGATAAAACGGAGTCGGCTCGCCGGCTTTATCATCAGACAGAATGCTGTCTGTCGTATTTCCGAGAAAATACATTTCCTCAAAGGAAGGGGGGGCTGGGTTGGGGGTGAATACTGGGTTCTGTCTTTTGATAATTGCCCCAGCCCTGGCTATGATACCGCCAAGGTTCAATTGCCGCTTCCTAGATGTAGATCCAGGCCGAGGAGGTTCACCATTGGGCACATTCCACAGATTGCGGGTGTTGTTATCCCACTGGATCTGCATGGTGAAAGTCGGCTGGTTGGGACGGTTGGGGGCCACAGATTCCTGATCTTCCTTGGGAAGTGCACAGCTCCAAACAGTCGAAGGGCTGCTGCAGCCAGTGACGGCGGCGGTGTTGTCTGGGCTAACAACTGAGAGAACTCCAGTTGGCATCGGAGGGAAGTTTGTGAGATTGAGAAAGATGCTGTCGACTGGCGCAGATACGTGGTTTCGCGGGATGAGGGTAACACAGAGAACAATGATGAGAATGCTGAGGAAAAGACTGGCTCCGCATACACCAAGGCACACGCGTCTTCTCTTTCGGCCTTCACGACCGCTGCGACCATAGCATCCACTCGCGGGGATGCACCCACGGCCTTTCCAGAAACCTCCAGCTTTGCGAGCTGCAATTTCCTCCTTTTCGTGGCGACGAAGCTGCCGCTCAACGCGATGGCCATTTCCTTCGGCTGCAAGGAAATGTTCCGGTGGCACAAATGTGCCAGCAAATCGTTCTGGAAGACGACCTTGTTGTCCAGGAGCAGGGCTGTTGCCTCCCGGCGCTGGTGTCAAGGGTATGTCGGTCATGTTGATGCCACCTTGAGAACTCATTGTCCCATTAATGGCTGGCGAGATTGGTCCCGGAGATGGGGGGTAAAGTGACTGCAATGGGTGCCCTGCGGGAAAGACAGCTCGATATCTGACGGCCTTCTGTTGCGGAGGAGGAGAGTATGGGGGCGGCTGCTCTGAGGGAGCTGGGCTGGGTTCGGCAAGATGTGTTTTCTCTGACCGGGGTTGCAGTCGAGGAGTAGCTGACCGAGAAGACGATGCAGGTGAAGAATCCCGTCGGTCCATGAGTGGTGATGGAGTTCTTCTCGGAGTGGGAACTCTGACTATCGGGGCCTCTATATTGCGTGGTGATGGTCTTGGAGATGCTGGAAGGCCTAGTCCCTGAACAATAACTTGCTGAACTTCCTGTGGCTTGAATACCGTAGGTTGTAAGGCTTTTGTTTCTGAGATCGAAATCCTGGCACCCTTTTCACTCCACCAGTCGTCATGCGATGATGAGTTGACTGGCTGTGATTCACTCTTCTGAGGTGGGACAACAGGACTCTTCCTCTCTAGAAAGGGTGTCGTAATGTGATCCCACCAACCACGAGTCTGCGTTGCCGCGCTGTCTGGGCTCTTCGATGCCTCCTTGGCCTTTGTTGGCTTTTGTCGATTCGTGGCTGTCCCATCCTCCTCAAACAAGGTGCATGGGCTACCTCCTTCATCGTCCTCGTCATCCCTGTTCTTGAGAACGACGCTCACTACTCTTTCTTGTTGTTTGTAGGTAGAAGGCACTACAGGAACAGGAGGAGCGTCATGAGCAACACCAGCACCAACTCCAACTCCAAGGCCTGTTGCTTGAGAATAAATGCTAGAAGTGCGGTGTGGTGACTGGAAAGGAGAGGTGGTGTCTGGTGTGTCTGGACTCCACACAGACTTTTGCTGTGAGGGAGTCAATGGTGTGAAAGTGACTGGCTTGCCCGTCATGGTAGGCTTGTTGGTGTATTTCGGCGGTAGGTCGTGCGGCGTCTCAATGACGGCCGTTTGAGGACTAATTTCTCTGTCGGCCATCTCAGACGGCAACGCGATGCCAATAACAATCGGACGGTCGTTTGGGGATAGGTCCTGCTCCAGTGGGCTGCGGCCGGCGCTTTGAGGAGACTTTGCGTTTGGGTCCGACTTCTTCATCTTCAGCCAGTTCCAGTTGCCAACTGACGTAGAATTGGGCGAGCCCTCGAGGGCTCTCAATGCTGCTGCGTCGACGAACTTGGGCTGCTCGAGATCAAGAACCCGGCTCGGTTGGCTCTGTTGCTGCTGTCGCAATGTTGCCATATCCGTTACCACCTTGATCCCTGCTTTGGCATTCTGCGCCTTCTGCCGCTGGCGGGACTTGAGGCGCCTCAGCTTTTGAACTGAGTATCGAGGCTGCGAATATCTCGTCGAAGCCGGTTTGTTTGGTCTGAGGGGACTGGGAGCGGCCGTCTTGTCCATGATGAGCTCTTGGTCATCGTCCATGATTGGGGTAACCACATCTTCATCTTCCCATTCTTCCCAGTCTTCTCTCTCGTTATCATGTCGATGATCGTATGGCTGCCGTTGAGGCACGGTGGCCCCGTGTGAGGGCATGTTGGTGTAGGAACAAGACTTCGATCGCAACTTTGAAGTGACAATGCGTTAAGTCGAAGTCGAAATATAGTTGATTTGCTGAGAGGGTAGAGAATATCTCGAGCCTCTCGTAAAATGCTGTACGTGAAAAGAGAAGAAAAAAAAGGATTACTTCGAATCAATGCAAGGCTTCCGTGGTCGAGGTGGGTATCAAGCTGGAGCAAAGGCGTGGCCTTGAAAGAATTGATGGTGGATGTTTTGGGGGAGGAAGGAAAGAGGGAAGGAACGGCAGGTCCAATGAAAGTGCTACAACGATTGACAACGAACTCTCCCAGAGGGAATACTCGACTGTGAGTCGTGAATAGGCGCACAATGAACAACAAAAGGGAAACCGGATAGCCACCCACCGAGATTCGTTCAACTACGTCTGGAAACACGAAACAAGCAGGAGGACAATGGCGCGGCAGGAGCAGGTAGCTTCATTATATGACTAGGGCCGAATCACCCCACGGCGTCTTTGAGTTCATGGGTCACGGCCAGGCCTCACGATGTTTGGCTGGGCGATGCAGTTCGCAGTATGAAGTAGGCGCCCAGTTGGACATCTCGGGCTTCTGATTGGCCGTGGTGCCGCTGGCCAGCTCTCGGGCCTGCACAGGCAACCGCAACACTGGCCATTCATTTGGCCGCGGTTACACGGAGGGCAGGACGGCTCTGCGGGATGCAGCGGCATGTAGGACATCCATGAACAAATTGTTGGCTCATCTCGCGTGGCCGAATCACATCATTCAGTGAACCACGATGAGCAGAATGACTGTGTGTAAGGTAGGTAGTTGAGGTCGAGAAAGATGGGGAGCTGTGGCACGTGTGGTGGGTGGCTCGCGAGGAACTTGTTGACGTGGCTGGAGCAAAGTGTGGCTGAAGCCACCACAAACGCCACTGCCAACTTATTAATAGACTTCCCGCCCGACAGATTCACTTTTCACCGAGCCCGTAACGTACGCATGCCGTTAGTGGAGAGTCTTCCGTACCTTACTTCGCCGAAGGAGTGGAGACCCGAGACAGCGCTGGATGCCGCTGTCCGGGCCGGGTTCTATCAATTCCAAAGTTGAATTGCTCAATTTTTTAGCTGATGCCCCATACTTGAGAACAAGTCAGTGGCTGGCGTGCTAGCCATGACAAAAGCTAGCCCCTTTGTTATGATGTGCCCAACGTATGCTTCGTAACACACGCGCTGCATTCTTATCAAGCTGGAATGCTCATACAAGACGTCATGACACAAGCTGCCAGAGCACTCGAGGTATTTTCGGGGCCTCCGCAAGACAGCAACGCGTTGGAATGGAGCAAAGCATCGGCATCGGAAGCGATCGAGTCAAGAGCTCGGATATCACGCCTCGTCGGCTGGAACGTCTTTCAGGCGCCACAACGCATAGGTGGCAGAGGTACAGGTTTTCCTTCCCGCCCGTCATTCTATCTCACAAGTTACGTGTCTGCACGGCAGCCGTCACCCCTCGTTTACCATTGCCTTGGGACTTTTTTTGTCATGACTGTGGGATGGAATAACAGGGCCACACAAATCCGGTCTCAGGTCTTGAGCAGGTGGACGATGAGCATTGAGTGGCTGTGCAGCTAGCTGCGTCGCAATGGACGAGGGAAAGCTCGGGCTTTTTGAATCGCAAACCTAAGCGTTCCATCCAAAAAGCAAGGCGAAAGAAGAGCAGTACACTATTTCAACTGCACAAGAGAATTCATCTAGTTATCGTCAACGTAATCGGACACCGGCCTTTGGATGGACATTGACGCGATTGTTTCAGCAGGATTATTTCGAATAAGCGTGGCTGTGGAGTTGGCATCTTGGCTGTTATGCTGGCATCACCGAAACACCGTTGTTAATTTAAAAAATGGTCCAGACTTGGGGCAGAAGACGAGGGCAGCTCCACTCGATCTTGAACGTAATCTCCAATCGGGAAGATCAAACATGTCAAGAATCACGTTGTCTGGAATTGCAATATTGCAGCTCGTCGCCTGAAATTCCGCTTCTGAGCAGCAAACCACCAGCTGCACCATTGTGCAATTCGTGCCAAGTTGTCAATCGCGGCTCAAGGGCTGAATGTCAGGAGCACTACCTTAGACCATGCTAGCAACGTCACTCGACATCCATTGGCATCTCAATCCTGCACATGCGGGGTCTCTCTACGTAAGGTACACAAGGGCTGCATTGAAATACCTCAAAGTTCATGTCTTGGCTAAAAAGCGTTTTCATTACCTACCCCCTTACCTCAGCAAGCTATTGATATCCCTGATGTTTGTGACAAGCTTGTGAATGCCATATGTAGTCTGTGTCATTTTCTCCCTTGACTCCATCTGTACGTGTATCAAGTGAACTCAATTCAGGATGGTTTATCCATAGGGGGGGGTTTCTGCTGATAACATCCCCTACTATGACATCGTTCTTATCACGATATTCAGACGATTAAGACGTCAATCGCGGCCGTCTGGGGGGACTGAGAGGGGAGAGTTTGAGGGGGCTCTGAGTCTATTACTTTAATCATCTAGTTTCAAGGTACACTTGACTTGTCTCAGTGCTGCAGCATGAGCGTTGCCGCAGTGTTCAGGCTACCCGAGTCAATGCAGGGCCCATGATTTAATGTCAGCGGACCGCTAGAAGCCTTGAAACCTTGGCATTCTGGCACCCAGCAAAGACGTTCCGTCCGAAAAAAGATTAGATGCACCGGATTACTGCTTCTACAATGTACTCCAGGCGAGAAGAGGTTAACAATAAAGAGTAAGGGCCCTTTTTTTAGATGAAAGACTGACAATGGGTTGGATTGGACGGCAGCCAACCGGATGGATGGCCTCCCTTGAGGATATTATTGCCCAGCTTGGGCCCAGCCCATTCCCTTTGCAGATACGAGACGATTAAAAGAGCAAATCAACAAATAGTCGCACAAAAAGGAAACGGCCCTTTCTTGGTCTTACGAATCAAACATTCCCTCCTGCCACTACTCCGTACCTTACTCATACTGACAGCAACGCGATTGTGCCAGTGTGTTGTGTTGTGTTGGAAAGGTTCGGAATTCCATTATCGGCCTCCGCAGCTTCTGCTTCTTTTGGGTCAATTGTCATCCGTCAGCAATCATCCCTGCCCCCTAGGTACGAAGTACTGTACTCCAGTCTCCGCGTGCTATCCCCCCTCCCTTTCCCCCCCCCCACGCCAGTGGCAGTAGGCGGTCAATTCCCGGTCACTCTTTCCTGCTGCAGCCACCAGCGCCGTGAACGAACGCCCTCGCGAAAAAAAAAAGTGACCCGCCCTGGAGACGACTCTCCTCCACTTCGCCCTCCTCCCTAACACTTTTTCTCCTGTCTGTCTACACCTGTTCCGTCGCATCGAAACTACTACGGGAAAAGCACCACCGAACCGAGCCACCAATCCCTTACACCAGGGCTCTGGCTGACTGCCGTCCCATAACCCTCCAAGCTTCTACCTTACCGACCGGGCCCTGCATCGACCTGCCCTGCCCACGCAGCAAAACACCTTCCCCTGGCTGGGTTACCTGTACAGCCTCACCCCGAATTCCACGAACCACCAGAAGCCATTCTGCCTATTCCGAAGACAGAGAGGGGACCCCCTTTTTCGGATACATCGACCCCCTTCACCAACACCTTTAGCGAATACTTCTTGGCTATCGCGTTGTTACCAGACGGCTCGTAAAGTGCCATCTGGTCACAACCCTCGATAATCTTTCATCCTGGATCAATCACAGCAATTCGCCGCCTCTTCGTCCTTCAGCGATCGCAGGCCAGCACGTTCGCATCACCGACGCCGCTCCTCTGCATCTGGCGGTCTTGCAGTCAACGTTGACGGCCCAGGCGACCGTGGCTCTTCCCAATTCCTGGGAGTCCACGGCCAGCAGCCTGGTCTTGCGCCAATTCCTGGTACGTCTTGTCCTGCATCATCCTCCCGTTCTCTTCCTCAACTCCTACTCCGGCCCCGTGGCACACCTATTCGTACATGTCTACATCTTCCAACCCCCCCGCCTCGACCTTCCACCGGTGCGAATACGGGTTGGACAACCGAATGACGGGGCCCGCTTGCTGACAGCTCGTGTTCTTTCATCGCTGCAGGCACCCCCAACACCGCAATGTCGCTCTCGCGCAGTCCCTCGCCTATACCTGGAGGCGGTTGGGCCAGCCCTGGTCTGACCATCAACACCAGCGGTCGATCGAGTCCGAGTCGAGGTTTCTCAGCATCCAACGGCGCTTCTACCCCTTGGGAGAGCAAGATGAGGACCGTTGGCATGAACGGATACCCGTCCTTTTCCACCCAGAACCAAGGCTTCTTCACACGACACATGCGCCGGATATCAAGCAGCCTACCGCGGTTCAACAACCAGAGCCCATACGTCGAGAAGGAAAAGGACAAATTGGGGCAAGGATCATGGGCGGCACAGAAGGTTCCCCTCGTGGGCAGGATACGGAACATCTTTGCGCGCATGGGTAGGAAGATGAAGCTACGCCTGCTGATACTGCTCCTGTTCACCCTTGCGATGACCATCTTTTACAACAGTCGTACGTTCCTCCTCTTGCTGCAGATTTGGCTTCCTTGTTAACCATCTCGCAGCTCTTGTCTATCACTGGCGGAGGCACTTTGGCGGAGGCCAAAAGTATGTCATCATCTTAGCCGCCAACATTGGAGGAGGTGTCATGGAGTGGAAGGGCGCCCGCGAATGGGCTATTGAGCGTGACAGTGTACGGAACAAAAAGAAGTACGCCAACCGATGGGGATATGACCTTGAGATTGTCGACATGAGCACCAAGAAGCGATATGCACACGAATGGCGCGAAAGCTGGGAGAAGGTTGACTTTGTACGCTCTGCTTTCCGCAAGTATCCCAAGGCTGAATGGTAAGTCACAGTGCTCCATCCCCGGGGTGACTGAACTAACGATGGACAAAGGGTCTGGTGGCTCGACTTGAATACCTACGTCATGGAATTATCATATCCCTTACAGAACCATATCTTCAACGACATTAGCAAGCACGTCTATCGCGACATCAACGAGTACAATCCTCTGAACATCAGCCATCCTTTCACCGACCCCTACCTGGATGAGGAGTCCCGAAGTCCCATTGGTGATGGAAAGTCCGAATCTGTCAACTTGATACTCTCCCAGGACTGCTCTGGCTTCAACCTTGGTTCCTTCTTTGTTAAGAGGGGCAATTGGGCTGATCGCATGTTGGATGTCTGGTGGGATCCCGTCGCCTACGAGCAGAAGCATATGGAGTGGGAACACAAGGAACAGGACGCTCTGGAGCAGCTCTACAAAACGCAGCCCTGGATTCGCAAACACAC